TCGCGATTCAAAAGTTCCCAGGGCTTTTCCTGTACACCTGGCCAGTGCATCCGAGTTCAGAGTGCTGTCCAGAGCGGTCACAATGGTGCACTGTGGGATAGCTCCCAGAGGCCAATACCTTTGAAATGCGTCCACACTAACCCTAATTCGAAACGGCAATGTCGATTTCAGCGCTAATCCCCTCATTGGGGAAGAGTACAGAAATCGGTTTTAAGAGCCCTTTATGTAAAAAAAAAAAAAAAAAAAGGCTTCATTGTGTGGACGGGTGCAGGGTTAATTCGGATTTAACGCTGCTAAATCCGACATAAACTCATAGTGTAGACCAGGCCTCAGATAGGTCCAAATACCAGTACTCTATTCTGGGCACAAGCCTACCCCTCCATTTTTGTAAATCCATGCACTTGGTAATCATTGTGGCCTTCAGTCTTTGTGGTGGAGTTAAACCCAGCATTGTAGGTATATAACCTAGGATATAATTTTCAGCTGAGGTTTGGTTGCTAAAGCCAAGCAGTATTTTCACTCTAGTGTCCACCTCTTTCCGCAGCTGCCTGATTGCTGGACAGTGCCATTGCATGTGGAGAGGGCAAGGCTCCCATCTTGCACAAGCTCTGTGACATTCAAAACATTTTGAACAGCATCTTTTCTGTAACAAGCGTAGCCTGAGATTCACAGAGCCATTTTTAACATTCTGTAAAATGCTTTGCCATTGGGTTTCTTTTAAGGGCTGTGATAAATCCCCTTCATACACTTCCACAAAACTCCAGACCAGTGGAGTTCCACTTTACTAGTAAACATACATAGTAGATGTGGGCAGATTACCACTTGCGATATTAAAATGCCAGTAGTGTTTCTGGTGGACTCTGCCTATATCTTGTTCCCCTGGATGATGAAGCCATGCACCAGCCACCTTGAAAGCACCAAGCAAGGATTCAACTACCAGCTCAGCAGGTGCAGATGGAACATAGGAATGACCATACTGGGTCAGACCAGTGGTTCCTCTGACCCAGTATTTTGTCTTCCAATAGTGGCCAATGCCAGATGCTTCAGAGGGAATGAACAGAACATGACAATTTATTGAATGATCTATCCCCTGTCTTCTAGTCCCAACTTCTAGCAGTCAGAAGTTAAGAAACACCCATACCATCTGGTTGCATTCCTTACCATCTTGACTGATAACCATTGATGGCCTTATCTTCCATGAACTTGTAGAATTCTTTTTTTAACCCAGTTATACTTTGGTCTTCACAACATCCCCTGGCAACCAGTTTCACAGATTGAAGAAATACTTGTGTGAAGAAATACTTCCTTATGTTTATTTTAAACCTGCTGCCTATTGATTTCATTGGATGTTCTCTGGTTCACGTGTTCTGTGAAAGGATAAATAACACTCACTTTCTCCATACCATTTATGATTTTATAGACCTGTATCATGTCCCCCTTCAGTCGTTTCTTTACGAAGCTGAATAGTCCGTCTTTTTAATTGCTCCTCCTGTGGAAGCTGTTTCATACCCTTAATCATTTTTGTTCCCCTTCTCTGTTCTTATGTTTTTATGTTTGCTGACTGTAAGCAGCCAGACACAAGGGCCATTGCAAGAGCTCAACATGAAGCTATGCAGTTAAAGGAGGCCTTGAAAGAGCACTTGAATGGTCAGCCACAGTAATCCGTTGTGCTGGACTGTTCTCTGGCCCTGAAGTTTTGGGGACTCTGGGAATTGTGCAGTATTTGCTGTACATTTATAATTATTACATTGTGTGTTTCTCTGAACCAGAGTTCTTTGAGTAGTGTCACTGTGGGTGCTCCACATCAGGGGTGCCTGTACCTTTGATCAGAGATTTTTGGTAGCGGTGCCCATTCAGCCCATGCATGCATTCCACACGTCCTCATGCCCCACACTGAGGCTATATAGGGCTGCATGGGCTAACCACCCGCAGTTCCTTCTCAACCACCTTCAGCCTGAGACGGAATCTCCACAGGCCTGTTCTCTCCAATATTTCAGCAATGTATGTTAATTAGCATATAGTTAGTTACCTTATAGTGTTTATAATTGTTGGAACAGGTGTTCCCTTTGGTCTTTTTTTTTTTCTTTTTTCTTAAAAAGAAAATAGAATAACTTTTTTTATGGATAAAATTTGTTGATAGTTGTTACAAACTTCCCTTTCTAGAGATTTTTTTATTTGACTCAGGAATGCCAGGCTTCCAGGTGCCTGTCCTGCCATGAAGCTACTCCAATCAGTGACTGGCTTTCCAAGTGCTTCCGGTTTGGGTGATACTTGTATCCTCAGTAAGTGCAATATCTGCATGTCCTTCAAGGGTAGATCTCAGAAAAATAGGGAGAGGGAGTAAGCTTTACAATCGGCTTCAGATTCAGGGGGAGAGAACCCCCTCTACATAGATCTCCCAGTACCACTAGTACCCCGTCCATGTCAAAATCTCAGTCACTGGCAACCACTAGAGATGTAGGCAATACTGCAGGATCGAGTACATCTATGGTACTGAAGTCCTCAACATCTTCTTCTAAGGAGAATGAGGTAAGGAGTACATTCCCAAGAAGTCGCCAAAACACAAGAAGGCTACATAGACCTCAGGTCCCAAGGGGAGTTCCATGCAGGCTCCGAGTGATGTCAGTGCTTCAACAGTGAAGAGAAGCCAGTCATCTAAGACAGACTTGGTACTGAGTTTGGGTACCTGCATCCAGAGCATCAGAGACACTATTGAGAAGAGTTCTAAGCCCACCCCTGAAAAACACTTGGTAACGGTAACACGAAAGTCAACTATACCAAAGATGTATGGTACAGATGGGATTGGAGCCAACTCACTCCCATGCCAAGTGCTCGGTACCAGCTGAATTGGTACCAAAGCTGTCTTCCACAGGTTCTCAACTGACTCCATCTTTGATACCCATCAATACTGCAAGAATTTAGATACCCTAAGGAACTGATAGTATCTTTGGAGCGGGAGTCTTTTCCTCAGCCAGTCTCCAGTTTCGTATCTCAAACTACCTAGCGCTTATGGCCAAATATGACTTTTTGATCTATGGGCAGATGGCGGATATTGCAGATAAACTACTTTAGCAGCATCATGCCTGCTTCCAAGCTCCTCTACCTGTTTGTTGTACCATTGCCTCTTATTGTATTAGTAAAACAATGAAAAGTCAATACCTATGTCCTGCTATCTTGGGGATGGGCTGGGTGCCATCTTTACATTTAAAAGTTGTAAGGAAAATACGTGCAAACACTTACCCAAGATTCCTTCCCCTTCATCTGGCTCATCCATTGACAGCACTCGCTAGACTGCAGTGGAGTCTCCAACAGGTCCTGGTTCATGGCATAGCTGGAGACTGACTCTCTCTCCTGTCCCCACCCCACATTTCCTCTCTCCTCCCCCTCCTGCCTTGCTGTTCATGGCAGGGGTTTCTTTAATACAGTAGGGCCACATCTTAATACAGTTTCTCACATACACTGTCCATTGCGATTGCACAAGCCATCTTCACTCACGCTGTCAATCACATAACTTCCCCGTGGAAAGTACAATTACTGACATGAACAAGTAATAGTAGGAAATCATATATGCATTTTCAGCATTTTTTATTGTATGGTAGCAGCTGGAAACAAGGAGGAGACCAAGCACCATATGACCAGCCATTTTTTTCACAGATCATCATTAAATGTTCCACAGACAACAGTCTGGGAGCCACTGCTTCAGTAATTTACATTAGACAAAATTCCTTGATCTTTCAGAGCAGCAGGTAGCATACCAATGTACAAAAAAGACTGAGCTACATTAGATCACTGGCCTTCTCTACAGGAACTGGAAAATTTAATAAAGAGCTCAGCAAAAAAGCTTTTCATTGGAGTTTCTCAGAGCAATATGGTTTCTCAAAGCTTGCAAAGTGCTAGCTCTGGTTTCCCTTTGGCAAAAGTGAATATAGTAAACCAAGCTTTTAGTGGAGTGTTTTGTGAAGGGTCTGACACTGGCTGGGAGGGGAATATGGTTTTAATTACTTAGCTCTAAAGAAGGTTCAACCTGTCTGCACAATGGGGAAACTATTATTGGAACTACTCAAATGTTTAGAAACCAGGGATGTGGGGAAGAGTAGGTGAGGCCGGGAATGTGAAGTCTGTGGCGTGCAAGATGGTGTTTAAGAATCAGGCCAACACTTACATACCGGACTTGGGTGAAAGTTCTTGAATGTATAAGTTCAAAGAAGTTCTTAAGATTGTTTTCTTTACAAAGTCATTCGTGAGAAATTAATCCTGTGATCTTACTGACAGCTGAAAATGTTGACACTCCCTTTAAGTGTCCATTACGTTAAATTAAATTACAATGGAAATTCATATGTCACCCACATGGGTCATAAATGAATACATTATGACTGTGCAGTTATAGTTATGACCAAATTCATTTGGAGAGGGAGCACTTAAAAATTAAATTTCTTATCAGTCACATTTTTTTTAAAGGGCTTCAACCAAGCTTCAACAGTTGTGCTTGCAGTTTTGTGTACCAATTTTTTGCATGCATCCACTTTTACACAAACAAATTCTCGAGATGCATGATCAAAACCTATGTGCAAAACTGTGGGCCGTTTAGCAGTTGAGGTGAAAATTTGGCTATATGTGTTAATAGAACCATGGCTCCATGGATGAAAAATATTTTCCATCATAGAATTGCTGTAGTCCAGAAACAGATGGTTTAGTTAACCTTCATCTACCCAAAAAGGAAAAGAGAAATTCTGTTAGAAATTTTCACCAAAATTCACTATACTGAATTCAGCCATCATAGTTTATAGATCATCAGTTTGAGAGAAGGAAACACAGTAGGATTTCACATAAGTGCCTGGGTCTCACAGGTCATTTGATCATAGGCCTATGCTTTCCACAGCACTAGCTTACCTTGCTATTCTGTTTTTGTGCCAAATCACATTCCAGCCACCTTCTTCGTTTTTTTTGTTATAGAGGGAACACTTACTGTGAATTTCAGTATCTTTCTTTTCTCTTTGTAGGTCCAAGTTCAGTTAAAAACAAGAAAAAGGGTAAGTTAAAATTCTAATTTAATTTACTTGCTCACTGCAATTACTTCTCTCTAGCAAATGAGAGCTACTTTTGGCTGTGAACTTTCTCTGATCAATATGAATACCGGACAAATGGCATTTTTACTCTTATCAGTCTAGGTACACCTTGCCTGATATATATATATAATTTTCCACTTCTGTTGTAGTGATTGCATCATTGAGCAGGTTCATGTTTAGAATGATAGACATTTACTAATTTTTCCCTCTAAAAGCTGGCACATTAGTATTCAGAGGAGGCAGTGTAGAGGATGCAGTTGTAATCAGCTGCATAGTAATTAGCTGCATACAAATAATTCCCAAGATTTCATATTTGTAAATGCAGTTGGCTGGGTCATGGGCCAACCTTTCATTGTTTGCTTGTCCTTCATCATGTCATTTTCACTAAAATGATTTTCAGCATAATCTCTGATTCTTAAAGTTTAGTCGGCAATAAGCCTAACTTTTTAGAAAGCATGTCTGTAGGGATATGAGCCAAAGTCCATTGACTTCAGGGCTTTGGATCAGACTCTAATACCACATCCTTCAAGCTGTTCAAAATGTTCCGTGATTTATTTAAAAAGTGCTTATTAAAGAGTTTATTTTATATTAAATAGGTAATTTAGCACTTTAGCCCAGTTGAGCTGCAGTGGTCTGTAGTACCTGAGAGCTACTATTTGTGCAGTCCTCTTTTGAAGTATTTATGTTTCTGCGCAGACTTTCTGTTAGGAATCTAACAAATCAAAACACCTCAATTGCCTACTAGACTCCCTCTCAAAGGTCTGATGTCAGGAACCCGGTTTCAAAGAAGCAGTGCCAGCCTACCTACTGTTACTCTTTCCTTTGCAACCCTTGAAGTATCCTTTTTATGTATTCTGTAAATTCTTGTGTACATTTACAGAACGTTGTAAGTTTGAAAAAAAATTGCTGTGTGCAGTGCTTGGGTTCCTCCAGATGTGGCCCACATGCTTCAAAGAGAGTGCAGTACTGATCTAGGATATGATTCAGCAAAGCATTTATTCATGCATTTAAATTAAGCATATGCTTACGTCCATCCTTGTTCACCAAAGAACTTGTACGTGTCCTTACTGTTAAACATATGTATAAGTGTTTGTTTGCTGAATAAGGATGTAGGTAAGCACGTGGTTAAAATAGGGTGACCACCCATCCCTAATTGGGTGGGACAGTCTCAAAATGTACATTTCAAGTCCTGGTCCCCGGTGCTGAATGACTCTGGGACAGCATTTGTCCCAGATTCCCTGTGGCACCACTCAATGCCTGCCTGAGGCTCAGGGCAGCACCAGCCTCTTCCCAGTTTGGGGGAGGAGCTGAGGTGGGCCTAAGTCCCCACTTGCCACAAGACCCCACCCCCCGTCATTGTGGACGAACAATCTGAAACTGTGGCTGATGCTGGCTGCAGTTGGAAACTCTGTCTACGTTTTCTAAGAACGGCGCCCTAATTATTTTATTTTCTAAAGACCTAGTTTAAAAAAAAAATCTGAGAACTTAATCCCGCTGATGTAGGATCAGTAGAACTAGACGCCTCATAGGAGTGATAATTATGACATTTGAACTGCTCTGGCGCAGTAGAGGAAAAAATGGTAGTGCTGTATTAATCGATATTTTTCAGTTTCTATGGTGCTGCCATATTTTCCCCAAAAAATTGTTCGTTGGTTGGCATGTTCTAAAACAGAAAAAATCTCAATTCCCCCTGCTTTTAAGAAAGGAAGTGTCTGCATGCTGCCTGATACATTTAGCTGAAGACAGAGTTGGCAAGCTGGGAATCGAATAATCAAGGCACACTCTATAAAGCTATTCTGTGGTGGTGTTGGTGATTGCATGATGACCCTGTGAAATCTAGCTAGATTTGTGGTATGTGGCAACTCTACACAAAGCAGTGTCTGCTATGCAGGAGCCATGCAGATGCCATCTACTTAACCATAAGTATCAGCTTTCTCTTTTGGCTCTCAGTCAAATACTGAATACTTTCAGGAGTTTTTTGAGAGGATACACCAACACATTTCCATGTTGTGATTTCTTCCCTTGTATGGCATACATGCGTTCATGCTCACTCGCTGTCTTTCTCAATAACTCTAGCTCATTTCCTGTGCGCAAAGGGTTTCAAGTATGGGTGAAATTCTGCCCAAGAAGGTGGCTTATGTAACATCTTTTGTGGCAGAGATAGAGCAACTAAGTACCTCATCCCCCCCCAGAAGCTGACTGCTTGCTCTTTTTACCAAATTTGAAGAAAGCTCTTGCCCATCTTCCAGATGCAGCAATTCTCATACATCTCTTCAGCTCTGGAATGATCGCCTCACTAGAGGCTGAATCAAGAGTCCTCACAATTTACTGTACAGCTCTGTTTCTACTTCATAGGTTAGTAAGTTAGATTAACTACATAGTGGAAAATTCATTGAAATAACTTGATGCACCAATCAAATGCACATACCTGCTCATGTGCTGCATCAGAATTACATTTAATTGTTTTACACCTGAAGTAGCAGAATAGCCCTCTGGGGCAGGATTTAGTTAAAACAGCTGTAATGTGTATTCCTTCTTGATTCCCAAGGCAGAGCAAGGACATTCTGCAGTGAATCTGGCTTCGGTGCACATTTGATCCTGTATTAAGGTAGTCTAGGATAGAGAATGATATAAATCAAAGGAATTTAATAAAAATGCTTTAGGGGAGATGTGTAAAGATTTGAATTTTGATTCAAGGTGATAATTTCAAAAATGTGTAATTATCCTATAGAGGAGAAGAGCTTGGGGACTGAAAGAGTACTCAACCACCTGCCAGCTCAGATTGGAAGAGGAATGCATGCTAAGTGGGACAGAAATACTACCAACAATATACTTTGTCTGCTTTTACACCTTCTGCCCACCCTCCTAAGACATGTACCTTTTCATAAAATAGTTTAAACCAAATTTCTGCTTTAAAAATACTACAGTCTAGTTTTTAATTTTCTTATGACTCAAAATACAAGAGCAGGCAAAGGAACATGGGGGAGAGAATGAGAGAACTCTAGTATTTCATAAAAGTAGTCAGCTCTGAGTTCTGTATACTAACTTGTACAAGGAGTGGTGATTGTCTAACTTCCATTTCAGATAGAGACAAGAAATGAATTTTTGCGCCACCTAATGAAAGAAAAAAACCTGCATGTTCCATCAAACTACTCAGGAGAGGCAGTGTGATCAGTTGTAGGTAGATACCACAGCAGCTCCGATTCTAGGCATCCTTGTTGTTAACTGCTAGGCAGTGGTATGTACTTAGGACATACCAAAGAGGGGAGGCCTTTCCGACTTTGTGCTCACCAAAAATAATGACATTATTTCATTTTGCACCATAACATTTGTCAAAGTTCCTTCCCCACTCTGAACTCTGGGGTACAGATGTGGGGACTCGCATGAAAGACCCCCTAAGCTTATTTTTACCAGTTTAGGTTAAAAACTTTCCCAAGGCATAAACTTTGCCTTGTTCTTGATCAGTATGCTGCCACCACCAAGTGATTTAGACAAAGAACAGGGAAAGGACCACTTGGAGTTCCTATTTCCCCAAAATATCCCCCCAATCCCTTACACCCCCTTTCCTGGGGAGGCTTGAGAATTAACAAGATGAGCACAAACCAGCCTTGGATTTTTAAGACCCAAAAAAACCAGTCAGATTCTTAAAAATCAGAACTTTATTAGAAGAACAAAAAAAGACAAGAGAACAACTCTGTAAGATCAGAATGGAAGATAATCTTACAGGTAGTCAGATTCAAAACATAGAGAATCCCTCTAGGCAAAACCTTAAGTTACAAAAAGACACAAAAACAGGAATACACATTTCCTCCAGCACAGCGAATTTACAAGCCAAAACAAAGAAAACACATTTTCTAGCTAGATTACTTACTAACTTTACAGGAGTTGGAGGGCTTGCATCCTTGATCTGTTCTCGGCAAAGGTATCACACAGACAGACAAAAGCCATAGTTAGGTTCCCTTGTACATATGCATTATTCTGGTTTTTACTTATTCCTTTTTTATTTTGATGCAACCACTGCCTCATCCAATGTGCAGGCTGGACAGTGCCCAGGGAATGAGACAACTGTTCAATATTGGTATCCTCATCATGCTGCTAGTAGCCCCTGCCTTGTTTACTGCACATCTTCCAAAGCCTGTGACTAATACTAAGTTATTCATTGCCTCCATCTTTGTTCTAAAGCACTTATTACAGTAGTATCTGAATGCCTGGAAAACATTTATGAATTTATCTCCAGTGCAGTATTAGAGAGCATTATTATCCCTATTTTACAGATGGGGAAACTAAGGGGGAAAAAGACTTCTCTTAGGCCACACAGTGAATCAGTGGTAGAGCAAGGATTAGAACTCAGGCCAGCTTGATTCCCAACCCACTGCTCCTTCCTGTAGACCACACTACCTTACTGGAAGAGTTGTTGAGTATCCATAGCTCCTATTGACTTGACTTGTAATTATGTGTGTGTTTCGTTTTTCTGTATATCAGGCCTCCAGATGTCTCAAGTTGAACACCCAGAAAATGAAGGATATGCAACTAACTAGCAGCCACATGCCAGACTTTTGGTTTAAGTGACTTATTCAGGATCACATAGGAAGACTGTGGATGGAATTTAGTTTGTTTGGCATTCACCTACCTTAATCACAAGATCATCTCCTCTCTCCCTCCAGTCCCCTACCTTATTCACTGCACACCCTTCAACTTCTGCAACAAATGAAGCAGGAACCTACAATCAGCCTCATTCATCACACAATTCTGATTCATCCCCAGAGCCCATCCAGCTTGTGCACTGAATGAGACATAGGTCCTGTGGGAAAAAATAGAGCTGGTAAAAAAATTTATGACAGAAGTTGTCTACCAGAAAATATTGATTTGATGAAATTGAAACATTTCACAGAATTTTAATCAAAATTTTCATAGGAAATTATCTAAATGTTTCATTTTGACTTTCATGTTATAATTTTATCAAGTAAACGTTTTGACCTTATTGAAACACACTATTTTCAGAATATTTTGTTTCACAAAAAATTCTGAGATTTTGACTTTGTCCTGATTTGGGACAAAACCAAATTTTGAAATCTTAATTTCCCTCAGATTGGAAATTTTGAAGTTCAGTCACCTCTACATATGCACAAAGAGACTGAATTAAGGTTCAACGGGCAATGTAATTTCCTATGTTTTAAAAAACATAAACACAAGTTATATTATGTACAACTGTAACAACAACCACACACATACACACACAATCTTGGGGGATATAAATCTAGATAAGCCCTTAGCAGGTCTTGAGCTATAGGACTAACTACATTAGCAGGCATCAGGAGAAGGCTGTTATTATGGGGGGAAGTGGCCCATTTAAGTTCAGGGGTACTTGGAGAGCCCAGCCAGTGCTCTCTGTTCTCTTATCCCTAAGAGATCAAAGGAGCTTCTTCTCCATGCAGTGCCCCAGACTGTGGATGGGCTATTTGGATCATGTTCTTCAAGCCTATATTTTTTTCCAAATGTACTCTAGTCAACCAGGCCTGCCTTTCCAGAAGGCTATAGCTGCAAATCTAGAGCACCCAAATTTCATGCTCAGTGCATTTCCCCTATATGAACGCAATACAATAGGATTTCCAAGCAGGCAGATGAACTGGATCTTTAGGATAGAAGGTTCATCTCCATGTTTGTCTGAGGATTCTTGCTCCAGGATAATAGATTCCGTCTCTCCTCTCCAGTCTACATTACAGAACAGCCTTGTAGAATGTTTAGTCCTAATTAAAAATATTTAAATACACCTCAAGGAATCTGTTAGATAAGGGAACTGCTTCCTTCATGTTCAATTTCTCTCTTCGTATGGTAAGCCCTGCTGAACCCACCTTGTTCTACCCAACAAGAGCTAGCGCAATCACCTGATAAAAAGGCCAACCATTGGTCACTATCTGTCATCAGGTCCAGATTGTCTCACACCATGACATCACATTCTGGGCTGAATCACAAAATCTGAGCTAGCTGTTTGATCATGCTTTTAGCTTATCTCTCACCGGCTCCAACATGGCTGACTCTGGAATAGAATGTGAGAACGTGATCCTGACTCTTCCTTTTTCTCACTCACTAGGAAGCTACCTGTTGCTCTCTTATGGGAGGGTACAGGGAAGCCAACTCAGAGCTTTTTTGTGCAATGCTCAGTAGGCAGAGGGTCTAATACACTATTTTGTGTTTTTCAGGTAAAAAGGCTGGTCCTCCAGGGCCCAATGGTCCTCAAGGGCCACCAGGACCTCCTGGACCCCAGGGTCCCCCAGGAATCCCAGGGATCCCTGGAATTCCAGGCACAACTGTAATGGGACCACCTGGTCCTCCTGGTCCTCCTGGCCCTCAGGGACCACCTGGGCTGCAGGGCCCTTCAGGTAGGTGTTTATTTCAATCCTAACTGGACAGATGCTTTGCAGACCACAGTGATGAGGGGAAATACCATGGTTATGAGTGGCATAAAAACTGAATAGAACATACCCAGAGACCTCTCCTTCAGTTCTAACTTGAGGCAGTGGGGCTGCATTGTTATAACAGCATAAGAAGGTTCATTTTCTAAGCACCACGTACAATCTCTCAGCAGGACACAGACACTAGTACTCGTAACTAGAACTGGAGAGGGAGAAAAAAGAGGTTAAAAACCCTCTTTGTCCTTACCAGCTCAGCTGGACAGGTTAGAGACGGGCTACTATGTCTGCCCCAGCTAGCCTAACTAGCGCTGCTCCACTAACTAGTACTGTGCAGTGCATAGATAAGCCTGGCCTTTCACAGACAAATAAGATCTGATCCCTGCCCCAAAGAACTTAGACTAAGTTTCCAAATAACACAGTGAGTGATAACAAACAGCGAAGGCAAGAGGATCATGTGGTTGTTCTGGTTTGCTGTAGGTGCTATACTGTTCACATTTGTTCTATTTGCAAGAAAAAGATGCTACTTAAATTCCCCATCCATAGTCATTTCACTGGGTGAGAGAAGCAGTGAACTACCAGGAGCTGGTATCCTGACATGACCTGCTACGGGACTAGCACTCTGGCTAAACAGAGCAGCCAAAGGAAACTAGGTTAATATCTACGTATAGCTGTGTGTTATCAGTTACTTCTTCTTTGAGAAGAAGCATTGTCTAGGGGTTGAAGCATGGGACTGAAAAACTGGGTACTGTTACTTCAATTCCCTGTAAGGTCTTAAGTCATTTCCTTTCTCTTTGCCTCAGTTTCTCAATTTGTAAAATGGGTGTTATACTTGTCTATCTCGCACAGGCCGCTGAGGCTTCATTTTTGTCTGTAAAGCACTTTGCAGATTTCTAAGCATTCTCTCTGAAGATGTCAAAATATTTGTTCCCATTAATCTCCAGTGAACTGAATTTCATTGGTACTGAAGTCTACAATTAGCTGTAACTCCCTATGTATGTGTTGTCAGATGGATTGGTTTGAGACTGCCCTGCTTGTAATCTTGGTCAACAAGCTAATCTGTCTTAATCCACATACCTGATGTGGTAAACCATTGGGAAGGACATGACTGGATCAGAAAAGCTCCTGAGACACTTGTTAGGTTTGTCTCAAAGTAGTCACAAGCAGCAAATCTGTTTGCCTTTCACCTGGTTCACATGAAAATATTTTTTCCTGCACTTCCCATTTTCACGTCACACTCCATATATATTGTTTTAATTCATCTTCTTAGATAACAGGACACTGAAACTTCCTTCCTGAAGACAGGCAAGGTTTATTACCCTTTCCCTCATGGGGCTTTCAGAGAAAACTGTCTGGCTTTCAGTCAATATACCAGGAGTGGCCAAAATGCAGCTTATAGGCAACTTGCAATCCTTAGTTCTATAGTGCAGTCCACAGCTACCCTTATTTTTATTAAAGAGATCTGTGTCACAAAGATAACAGGTCCCATTGTGTGGTCTGGCTCTCAGAATGAGCTGGAGCATTGCAGTATGGAACCCGTAGTCTTTGGAGGATGTACCTCCATAATCAAGATGAGGGTTGCTGCAATTTGTTCTATTTAATGAAAACAGGTTGAATAAAGTTTGGGGACTCCTAATGTGTCAGTTAAAATTGCAAACCAAGAAGAAAGATGGAATGCAGCATTTCCAGTTTAGAGACCTGCTAATTGTTAAGCTCAATGTCACTCATTGTGTTTCTTCTTTCCCACCTAAGATCTGGTCCTCTGAGGAAAACCCCTGTTTTTTACTCAGTAGGCAGGAGATTTGTTACATCTGGTTTTGCAGAAGTTTCTCAAGTGCCATCATGATTTTGTGGATATTATATTTTGCAGGTGCGACAGACAAAGCTGGCTCCAGGGAGACACAGGTTGGTTGACTCTGTCTTAGGGGGAAATGTCAGTTGAGTTGGCTAGATATTTTATTTATTTATTTTTTTTATTTTACAAGGGAACATTTTCTAAACGTCCATTTTGTGGTAACTTTCCTATATAAATGAACATCTTGTGCTAAATGGTTGTTACACTCACATAAATACCAAAAGAAATTACCAGAATCACCTTTACTATTGGAAATGGCAGAGGAAGCACTGGATTTGCTGCTTACTGAAGTTTGCTACCTTTTCTCATCTTCTTAAAATACCTTAAAAAATTCTTGGCATTGGTTTATTCTAGCCCACTTCATCATTTACAGAAAACATTCCTGATGTACAAGGAGTTTCAAATGGAAAAGCTAAAGACTTTATGAATTGTACTCTTTAAATACAAATGAATGCACTCAAATCCACATTGACACAAAGAAAATAATAATAAGTCCTCTTGTCTAGTTGAGCCCTGTTTTGTTTTGAGAAGGTGACCACAGCATCTGCCCAGCCAGCAATATTCTGGAGGTCTGCAATGACTACTTTGAACTTTATGTCCTGATCATCAGTTCCACAGAGAGATAAATAAGGTTATTTAGTAGAATAAATCAGTGCATCTGGATAATTTTAACTTGCTGTACTCTTATTTGCAGCCAGCTGTGGTTCATCTCCAGGGCCAAGGGTCAGCAATTCAAGTAAAGAATGGTAAGAATGACAAGAGATTGTCAACCACTAAAAGGGTCCCATCCTGCACCCTCAATTTCATAGCTGGGCTTTCTATGCAATATACCACATAGTATGAGACACTAGTTCAGCTCATGGTCTTCTCAATATGGTCCTCTGTTAGCCTCCCTAAGTGACAGTAAGACTTTCTGCTGCCCCCAGTCTCATCAATCCAACTGTCTTTTATGCCTCATCCATCCTTTTCTCCACTATCCTAAAACACACAAGTCTCTCCAAATAATTCTCTGTCCCAGTCCATCCTCTGCCCACTTGCTGACCTCCAAATAGATTATCTGCCTCCTCAAACCAACTGAACCTCCCCTCCACAGAACGACGAGTCCTCTTCCCCAATCTATCTTCTGCCCTCCCTTCAGTCCTGAATGTGTCCTATGCCTACCTCCATTTTTCAGCAATCCATCCTCTGTCCACTAGTACCCTACTCCATTCTGTAGCTCCCAGTCCATCAATACATTCTCTGTCCCTATCAATTCTCTGTTCCCTTCCCAAAGTTTCCAGTCAATGGACTTTTCTACTCTTCTAACCCCCTAGACTCCAAATCAAATCTCTACTCACACTCTTCACTTTCTCCTCAGCCTCCCCAAATCTCTGACCTCCAATCTATCAAGCACATCAATCCAGCTCCATTTATCCTAAGTACCCACCCCTCAGCCAGTTGATCCTCCCATCCAACTAGTTGATGTTCTTTTCTTCCCCCAAACTTACTAAATCTTTTTTCATCAAATCACCTCACAAATTGACCCTTTCTCCCTCTACTCATCCTCAGCAAATTTGACCTTGTGTTCTCCTCTGCTGGTAAAATTGATCCTCTATGTGTTGCTGTTCCCTCCAGTAATTTTGATCTTGCAGTAAAATTGAGCTTATGCTCTCTTCCCCCATCAAAACTGATCTTATGTCCCTCTCCAATTTACATAAAGGTTTCTTTTCTCTCTGCCCATAGGAGGGTCACAAGATTCATCAGATGCCTCCTTTCTCCCCGTGGTTCAACTCCTGTGGTTATGTTGGAAGGGGAGAAATTCTGTGAGAAGTGCTCCCCTGCCTGGACCCAAGCCAAGTCACTGGAACATTTATCATATTTCCTATGTAGTATCCCAAGACACTCATAAGAACATAAGAATGTCCATCCTGGGTCAGACGAATAGTCCATCTAGCCCAATATCCTGTCTTCCAACAATGGCTAGTGCCAGATGCTTCAGAGGCAGTGAACAGAACAGGGCAATTTATTGAGTGATCCATCCCCTGTCATCCAATCCCAGCTTCTAGCAATCAGAGGCTTAGGGATACCCAGACTATGGGGTGTATCTCTGACCATCTTGGCTAATAGCCATTGATGAACCTATCATCCATGAATTTATCTAAGTCTGTTTTGAACCCAGTTATACTTTTGGCCTTCACAACATGCCCTGGCAATAAATTCCACAGGTTGACTGTGCATTGTGTAAAGAAATACTTCCTTTTGTTTGTTTTAAACCTGCTGCCTATTAACTTCATTGGGTGACCCAAGTTCTTGTGTTATGAGAAAAAGTAAATAATATTTCCTTATTTACTTTCTCCACACCAGTCTTGATTTTATAGACCTCTATCATATTCCCTCTCAGTCATTTCTTTTCCAGGATGATTAATCCCAGTCATTTTAATCTGTTCCATACCCCTAATGATTTTTGTTGCCTTTCTCTGTACTTTTTCCAATTCTAATATCTCTTTTGAAATGAGGCAACTAGAACTTCATGCAGTATTCAAGGCATGAGCGTACCATGGATTTATAGACTGGCATTATGATATTTTCTGTGTTTCCTTTTCCTAATGGTTCCTGAAATTTTATTAGGTTTTTTGACTGCTGCTGCACATTGAGTAAATACTTTCAGAGCTCAGTCCACAATTACTCCAAGATCTTTCTTGAGTGGTAACAGCTAATTTAGACCCCATCATTTTGTATGTATAGTTGGGATTATGTTTTCTGGTGTGCATTACTTTGCATTTATCAACACTGAATTTCATCTGGCCATTTGTTGCCCAGTTACCCGGTTTTGTGAGATCCCTTTGTAACTCTTTGCAGTCTGCTTTGAATTTAACTATCTTGAGTAATTTTGTATCATCTGCAAATTTTGCCACCTCACTGTTTACCCCTTTTTCCAGCTCATCTGTGACTGTGTTGTACAGCACTGGTCCCAGTACAGATCTTTGGGAGTCCCCGCTATTTACCTCTCTCCACTGTGAAAACTGAACATTTAATCCTATGTTTTGTTTCCTGTCTGTTAACCTGTTACTGGTCCATGAAAGCACCTTCCCTCTTCTCCCATGACTCCTTACTTGGCTTAAGAGCCTTTGGTGAGGGACCTTGTCAAAGGCTTTCTAAAAGTCCAGGTACACCATATCCACTGGATCGCCCTTGTCCACATGTTTGTTGACACCATCAAAGAATTCTATTGATCTATAAGGCATGATTTCCCAAAGGCCGTGTTGTTGACTCTTCCCCAACAAATCGTGTTCATCCATGTGCCCTGATAATTCTGTTCTTTATTGTAGTTTAAACTAGTTTGCCTGGTACTAAATTTAGACTTCCTGGCCTGCAATTGCCAGGATCACCTCTGGAGCCTTTAAAAAAAAATCAGCATGACATTAGCAGTCTGCCAGTCATCTCGTACAGAGATTAATTTAAGCAAGGCCAACTGAGGAGACACAGAGCAGCTACAGCTCAGCATGCTCTCCATTCACACACAGGAGGCTGCTGCAGAGTGCTCCGAGGGCTGCAGGAGAGGGAGTGAGGAGGGAGGGGGGAAGTGGGTGCCCCTTACTGCCTCGTAGCTAATATAGCAATGTTTATAGTTAAGGCTGCCCCATGCTATCCATTGAAAGAGCGTATTTTCATTTCTTTATAACATTGCCAAACTTTAACCATTGGTGCTAAAATTTCTCATGCCAAGTGTCTATCTCAGGCTGAATTTTTTCTGAAGTTTCAGAGAAATGTTACAGCTATTTCTGATAATTATATTATGGGAAAACACATTGTTTTGCCTGTGGTGGTGGTTTTCTTTTTTTAATGTTTACAACTTTCATTGAGAGGTTCCTGCTTTCAAGCAGGGATGTGAAATATGGCAAGCGGGTCACCCACAGGTTGAGAGAGATCCCCTTTGGTGCATCCAAATTTCACCAAATTATAAGCCTTTGAAAATTACTGTTTGCACATTCTCAGTAGAAGTATGTACATTTGGCAGTAAAATTCTCTGAACATTCCATCTGTACTGAGCATGCTCCATCACCATAGAGCTCCATGGCAACCACAGTGAGCATGTTCCATTCCCACAGAACTTATGAATAAGAATTATCCTGCAATTGTTCCTCTCATCTTCTGGAGGCTAATGTGCCTGGCACCAAAAGTGAGAGCAAAGTAGACTCACTGCTGCATTCTCAAAGGTTCCCCTGCTGCCACCCAAGCAACCTTGAGGAGAAGGAAGAAACACCCTGACTTGAATGTAGACAGGAGAAGAGGGAAAAGGCAGGTTTGGTGGGGAGGGGATAGGAGCAGAGATAAACTGGGACAAAAGAATTAGGCATGGGAGAACTGGGTGGAACCATCTATAACCACTAGAACACATTCCCCCACAGAGCCTGTAAATCAAAACCGTATTTGTGGATGCCAGCAATCCCCTGCTGGCAGCAAATAGCTGTGAAAAGAACCAGCAAAGTGTGTGTCTCATCCCACTCTAGCGGCTGGCTCATATAGAGGATAACAGCCTACTACTACTACCAATTACTCCATTAGGTCTAGTGGTAGAGGTCTGTGTTGTGGATCTAAAGGTTCCAGCCTCATTAAAGACTCAAGTGTTAGTCAGTATAGTACCATATGATGAAATTTTTGTTTTTATTTTTATTATTTTAAATCTAGAAAAGTACATACAAAGAAAACCGTGTTAAAAGAATGTTAAGGTTGCAAATTCAAGCATTCAAAAGTTACGAAATGCCAGAATCAAGGTTGCCTGTGCAAACTTAATTTGACCCCCTTGTGCATATGCATTTATGAGACAGCCTTTAGTTACAGGATCACATACTGTTCTTCCCACATGACCTCATTTCATTCAGTGCATAGGATGTACCTCCTCTGGGATGAATCAGGGTTGTGTAGTGAATTAGGCTGTTATCTGTAGGACTTTGCCTCATTTGTTGAAGAAGTTGGAAATTCTGCAAGGAATGAGGCAGGGGGTTGCAGGAAGAGATAAGATGGGCTCATGGTAAAGGCAGTTGAATGCTGCCCTGCAGAATAGAATTCTACCTGTCTCTGCCACAGAGTTCCTATGTGATGCTAAGTAAGTCACTTATACCAAACTTCTTACAGGAGGCCATTAATTGTGTGTTCCGTTATTCTCCAGGTGCCCAACATGAGACACCTGGAGCCTGAGTTACAGAAGTGCAGAATTCTCAGAACTGCAGTTGAAGTCAATGGGAGCTGTTCTTTGAATACATAAAGTGCTATGTAAATGTGAAGTACTCTGAAAAATCAGGCCTTAGATGTCTCAAGTTGGGGACCCAAAATTAGTGGATTTATAGACTAATTTGACAATTTTGGCTTTATTCTCTCTGTGCCTCAGTTTCCTCCCTCTAAAATGGGGATAATAATAGCGCCTCTCCTCATAGGAGTGTTGTCAGAATAAATTCATTAATGTTTGTGAAGCGCTCAGATTACGGTAAGCGTTCCACAGACACACCCAGGAGGAAATAATCATTCTGCATTCAGTCCAGACTGTGAATGGTGTGCAGTAAATGAGGCCTAGGGCCATATACTGAAAAGAAATATTGAATATCTACCATTCAGTGAGCACCATCCCCCTGTTACACTGAATGAGGCAGGGTGCTTGTGCAAGAAATAGTATAACATGAAATTAAAGAGAGTATCATAAGGCTGACACAGAAGGGGGCTGAATTAATCTACTGGCATCCTTAATTCTGGCATTTCCTATCTTTGAGTGCTTGACTTTGAAACTTTAGTATTCTTTTAATATATTTATTTTATATGTAAGATATCTGTAATTGTGTTTGTGTTGCTACTGCGCTTTTCATTCTGACGGGTACTGAGTGACTGCCATTTTCTCATACTGAGATCTTTCAGGTGGAGTGCTCAATGACTGGTCTCGCATCATTATGAACCCCAAGGTGTTTAAGCTGCATGCACGCAGTGGGGAGCTGGAGGTATTGGTGGACGGCACATACTTCATCTATAGTCAGGTAGAAGTGAGTACGGTCCTAGGCCTAACTCCTATTCCTGTATTCAAAATGAAAAGCCTTGCATGAACCACAAGGGGGCTCCAGAGAGCCAGCAAAGGCCAGGAACTTGTATGTGCTCTGAACCATTTCATGTTCTAGGATGTGAGTAGAGGAAGAGGACGTTAAATTTCGGGGAGTGCAAGGTCATGTATTATACAGTAATACAAGCTATAAGGCATTAGTTACTGAGCCTACGTGCAGACTCAATACAAAATTCCATATGCCATGAATCCTGCTGTTTTTTTCTCCATACATTCTATTGTGCAGTTACTCACATTCCAAGTCAGTACTGAACAACAAGCCCAGAAGGAAGCTAGAGGTCACTTTGCTGCTGGAGGTGCTGTCTTTTAAGAGAGAGATAAAACCAAAGTCCTGACTACTCATGATCATTTAAGATCCCATGTCACCGTTTATAAATGTAGGACTGTTAACCCTGGTGTCATGGCCAAATTCCAAGTTAGGTAATTCCATTCTCCCTCCCAAATTCCTCTTGTGGTTTTAAATGGATACAATACTCTTCCAAAATCATTGTGTAGCATGGCTGTGTGCTGTAAAACAGCCACTGCAGTTCACTCCAGAGATGGGTGCAGTGTATGTATGTAGTCTGTAAAGGGCTTTGGAATCCTCCAGGATGCAAAGTGCTGTGTAAATAGATGATGGTGATGATGATTATACAGTACACTTCTTAACATGGCATCTCCCAGAGAACTGTTTCCTCCACCCAAGTGTTATTCAGGAGAAGGATTGTTTAATTGGGATGTCTCAATATCCTGATAACCCCATGTCCTGGAGCTTCTGAACTCCACAGGAAATGAGGCAGCTGCAGAGCTTCTAAACTTCATCCAGTTCCTCCATAGTGTCTCCATTGACCTCTGCAGAGAAAAGCTGTATCGACACTGAAACAGATTTTAGAAACTCTGCAGTTGGCAAAAGGGCTTCCGTGAGGCTCCATAATTAAAATAGCTTTACTCCAGATTTATAGTATCAGCTGCATCTTCATATGACTTGTCTGTGTGTAAGTAACAGTTCCAAGGGAGGCAGTGCAGACTCCAAACATGAGTTAATCAGAGTCTCTTCCATGGAGCTGTGCACCAATATATAGGCTGCAAATTGGAGTAAAATTGTTCCCTTAAACTCATGCTGACAATTGCTGGCAACAGCATTTCAGCGCTGAAGACTTTGTCCTGTGAAATCTGTTAAGGAAAAAGTAGAGCTAACTTTTCTTTGTTTGGGACAATATGCTAGCAGTGCGGTGGAGGTGAGCTTCTATTGGGCAGTGTCTGTGCAGTGATGAGATTTCCTTTCAGCCATGCATCAGCAGGATGGGATTCAACTCAGTGAAAGTCCACAGACTATGGAAACCTAACAAATACCCATTGCCTCCAGGATGACTGGCTTCCCCTCATCAGATGCATGAGCCCTGCCATTGTCCTCTGAGATTACCACTCCCCATACAGACTTCTACCATACGTCCTTCAGTTCTTCAGTATCAATGTTTTAAAGGGTGTGGAACATCTTTTGCAGGAAAAATAAAACAAGGTTAAAACATAAATGTCCTAAATCAGTAACAGAATCGCTGGGTGGATTTAAAAATAGCAGATCTATTAATATTATACTTTCAATCCAAGTATTTTAAGATCATTTCCCCTTTCATTTACCTGCCCAGGCCTGAGTTCAAGAGTCTGTTTACCCCCTATAATAGCAGATGACTTTGAAAGCACCTCAGATAGTTCATCCTAGAGCATTATTAATGGCAGGCTACAGGGGACTCTGAGATCCTGAAAGCTAGACTTGGCAGATAGGTGAAGGAGGACCTGAGCTTAAAATAGGCTCTTTTAAAAGGAGAAGCTATTTGTAATGGTTAAGTCTGGTTGTAGTTTTCTGTTAGTGGCATATTTTAAATATGTTTTATTTTACAGCAGCACTTGAGTTCCCTTTTTAATAAAGAGAGAGCTGTGCTGGTCCCTGTCCGGATTCCCACCTAGATCTTTGCTTCTGGGGGAGTTGCCTCCATTCACAAATACTTCCATGCTTGCTCACCCTCATGGTTTGTGTTTGTAGGATATGGCATATAAAGGTCTTGTTTGTGCTGCTTGCTAAGAGTGAGCCAGCCCACTGTAGATGTAGGTATAGAGGGACTATGGAAGTGATCCGTGTTTAACTGAGGAAAGGTGCACATGCATGAGCACATTTGCAGCAAGAAGTGGGTGGTTTCCTGGGGCACAAACACACCTCTGCCCTCTCCGTAACACCATTTCTTCCTCCTGCTTCATAGGTGTACTACATAAACTTCACAGATTTTGCCAGCTATGAGGTGGTGGTGGATGAAAAGCCATTCCTACAGTGCACCCGGAGTATTGAGACAGGCAAGACCAACTTCAACACCTGTTACACAGCTGGGGTCTCTCTCCTCAAAGCCAGGCAGAAGATTGCAGTGAAAATGGTCCATGCTGACATCTCCATCAACATGAGCAAGCACACAACTTTCTTTGGGGCCATACGGCTAGGAGACGCACCAACATCTTAGATGAACTTGGCATATACATGGAGTCTCCCAGAACTGCACAGTGCTGCTTTTCAAAAGAATATGAGGGGGTTCTATCATACAGCCACAAAGAAAACTGATCCAGAGCTATTTATTTCTTTATGTGGATACAGGAAGAGCAAGGTCACCTGTGATTTGCATAGAGACTTGTATTAGAAAGGCAGTTGAGAAAGCATTGTGAGGAAGAAAGGCTCGCATGTCCTTTCTTGCCTCAGTGTTTCAAGTATTACTGCACTGATATTCTGCTCTGTGGTCCTCACCCAAGATTTGTGGTAGGAATGATATGGGTTTCCTGCTTTTATGTTGCACTAGCTATAGCATCCATGGCAGCAGCAGCAGAAGGCGAGAAAAGACAGGCTTTCTGAGGAGTTGTTCTCTCTAGGGACTCATACACTGCTGCCTTTGCACACTTAGGGCAAGAAACCTATGGGTTTTCTCCACCTATGAGGGAGAGTTCTAAATTAGGGCAATGGTGTTGCAATGTGAAAGGTGAGAATGATCCCTGCTCAGTGATATTTACATTCATCCTCTGGACTGTAAGAATAAGTAGGTTGAGGGCTTGGAAGCAGGCTGCAAATGCAATGAGCATTTGATGAGCATTAAAACATAGTCACAAAATAAAATGATACCACGTAAAACAAACTCTCAGCATTTTGCAAGCCCAGCATTGAAATGCTCTAGGCAGCTATGACCACAAGATGTTTCAGTGCCGCTGGTACTTTAAGCTCCTGCCACGTGCCCAGAGGTTTAAGTTGCTCTAATGGGCACTTCCTGGAAGTGGTGGTGTTGCAACAGCAACTTGTGATTTTACAAAACTAACATGTTGCATACGAGGAAATATTTACACAGGCTTCATAGTGCAGCATGCTGCAAACACGACTACCCACATAAACACTCTGCAGCACCCACTGAAATGGGTATTTTTAAGATTAACATATCCAAGCAAACAGGGAAATCTTTTCTGTGTTATTGGCATTATGTGCTGGGTTTTAGGAGCTTTATTCTTTTTCTACACTAGTGAAGAATCTTTCGTTTCTTGTCTGCCCTTCTCTATCAGAAAGACAGTGTAATAAGCGATGGTTAACTATTTTCCAACAAGGCCTGTACTGAAAACTTTGGTCCAACACATACACACCCTTCCCACTTCTCTTTTCTCTGGACTCAACTGATTCTAGTCCAAATATACCTTTTAGGCACTAATGGAAAAACTCGAAGACTATGTTTCTTCAGGCTTTCTGAGCAGCTCTTTCCTACTATTTCCATTTGATTGGTGAGATCTAAATCCAAGACCTGTACTTGAATTGGAGAAGTGGAAAGAGCTTTATTCACTCCTCTGTATCATACCCTTTTAAAAAAAAACCTGGCCATCTTTGAACAGAGCTTTTCCCAAAAATACAGATTATATATGGGAGGGTGATATCTCAGTCAATATATTAAAATAAAAATGAATTTCTGGAGTTTGAAGAAAATCCTAAACACACAGCCTGGTGCTACCTTCCTCTTTACCAGTAAGGACTACTTGACAGTGATAACCTATTGGCATTTGAAAATGACCCTCTATCAGCACCACAAAGGCAGTAATTGGATTGGCCAACTAAGATTCCAACCTATACTCTTCAGCCCGGAGTACCCTTAGCTTTCCTATTCTTCCCCATTCATAATGAGCGATGTCATTGTATAAGGAGAAAAGCACCTTCCAAGGCTGCCATTCCTATGGGAGAGATGCATCATAGGGGGAACTAGCCTTTGACTTCAGGCATCACTACTCATTAGAGGGGTATAGTTATGCCATAAGTGCACAAATTCCCTGTTGTTCTTTTCTTCATATGATCTGCCTCCTTTCCAGCCTCAACATGTTGGATTAGCATGAGCATTAGGATATTTAAATAGTTTTCAGTGGTTTGTTTCCCTCAGAATGAATTAGAAAGACATATTCTTCTGCTAACAAAGAAGTTGGGAAATGTGTGTGATGGGAACCTCTGTTAACCAACTCATTAACAATAATACTTTCGAATACAGTCTACTTAAACGACAAGACTAGGGACAAGCAAAAGTTGTGAAATGACAGGGAAGGGGATGACGGAGTTAGTTAAGCTCTTATGTCCCATTCTGCTAGGCCCCATGATTCCCAGCTGAATGATATGGCTTCCACTACGCAGCAATATTCCATCTGTGCAACGGCAGAGCACTCACTGTGGGGAGCACCATGTGTCTCTGTCTAACATTTCTCCTAGCATGTACATAGAACAGCAATGAAGGACTCCGGAAGGAACAGAATAGCACCTTCCTCATCAGCTTTAATTTCTTGTATGTTCAGTTAGTGAAATGCACCTTTTCTGATTTTTCATTAGACCAAATGATGGATTCAGTGTAACTTGAGTTCCATGGCATCGAGCACAGGAGGCTGGGGAGCAAATGACCTGAAGAACTCTGATAGTATGTTGAGGGCCAAATTCATCACTGGCATAAGTGAATTTAACTCCATTGTCTTCACTGCTGGCATGAGAGTGTGAATTGGGCCATAAAGAGCCTTTTTATAAATGAAAACCCAATGGCTTCTCTAGCAGCAAAATCTCATTAATGGAGTATTAGACTACATTATTAAAATGACTAACTTATTGTAAGTTCATCTAGGTCAGGCGTGGGCAAACTACGGCCCAGTCTGTGAGCTGTTTTAAGCCAGCCCGCAAGCTCCCGCTGGGGAGCTGGTTCGGGCTGCACCATGCGGCTCCTGGAAGCCCTGGCATGGCCCTGCTCTAAGGGTCAGGTTCCGCTCCATGCCTAGGAGCCAGAGAAGGGACTTGCCACTGCTTCTGTGAGCCACTTGAGGGTAAGCCCTGCTCAGAGCCTGCACCCCAAGCCTCTTCCCATGCCCCGACCTCCTGCTCCCAGCCCTGATCCACCTCCCGCTCTCCAAACCCCTCAATCCCAGCACGGAGCACCCTCCTGCACCCCAAACCCCTCATCCCCAGCCCCACCCCAGAACCCACACCCCCAACTGGAGCCCTCCCCCCCCCACACATCCTAACCCCAATTTTGTGAGCATTCATGGCTCGCCATACAATTTCTATTCCCCGATATGGCCCTCAGGCCAAAAAGTTTGCCCACCCCTAACCTAGGTTATAGCATGGCTTCTTTCTGAGACATCTCAGGGCCCCTGTTTAATTTTCTGGTGGTGCAAAGGAAGTTGAGCAGAAGAGGTGTGAGACCAGATTCTAGTAGTCACCAGGGGCGAAAAGAGGCACTGTGAGAGAGTTTAACGAGATACTAGGGAAAATAGGGGCTTGCTTCAGTCATCCACTGTGATGTCTTCCAGTCTGACACGCGTTGCTAATCGGGTTGAGACAAGGGAGTGCTTCGGTAATGGACAAATGTCGAGCATATCGGGAATTCTGGTGTGTGTTTGTGGTGCTGTGTTCTGCAAATGCAGCCCCTGCTGCCTTCCTGTTTTTGTCTCAGCCCTTTCTCTTTGAGTAGCAATCTACTTCCTCCACCCTCACCAGTGGGCCTTAACTGTCGTTTCATTGCTAGCTGTGCCCCAGTTGCAGAAAAGTAGCAAATGGTTACTGATTTACAATATACAGTTTTAAACCCCCCAAAACTCTTTCTGTGGAGACAGTTTTTAGAGAAACTGGAAATGCTGCTACAGTCAGGCCATTGTTAAAAGAAGCAAATATCTGCAGTAGATGCCTTTAGTTGTGAGCTGTCTACCTTGGAATGATTGACCTGCTGCCTTTGCTATTCCCAAGTGCCCTTCTTACACAGATAAGCAGGTTGCCTTCCTAACCTATTGAGGACTTAAATAGCCCTGCTCCTACTGACAAATCGTGCCTGGTCATCACTGGACTGCGATGTTCCTCTTAAAGAACATTAGAAATTAAAATGCAGTGATGGAAGAGTGCCAGCATTTGTGTTTAGATAAGTATTCTGAATTGAACAAATGAAGCTGGATGGATCAATTGTTCTCACAATCATGGGAGCCATCACAGGTCATCTCAGCAATTCTGCCCTTTTATCCCTCTTGGGAGAGACAGTGAAGAGAATTAGTCCTGAGCTTCCCGAGTTGTCCAGCTACTTATTGGTCTTTCCAGTTTTAGTGCCCCTCCTGCCCCGAAACAGAATCCTGTTGCTGTTCTCCTGCTCACAGCAGCCTTGCCACAAGTTTCTAGAGCAAAGAAAAGCAAGTGTGTATTTTATGGTAGTCTAAAGGTCACCCCACTGAACTGAGGATTTATCCACAAGTGCTGTGTTCAGGCTACACATGTCACTGAGATGCTTTTGAATCGGTTTGGAATGCAGAAATGCTGCAAATAAGTATGAATGCAGGCTTAACACCACTTGCTGCATACAGAAGCTCACTCACTGTTGAAACAAATAGCAGTGTAGTACGTTTCATTATTCTGTGCCTCCATCTCTTCCAGCTGTCTCTTCTGAGAGCAGACTGTGCCTGCAGGGAGCATTAGGAACAAAACCTTTGGTGACTTGGAATTAGCAGTGTCAACCATCTAGTTTTTGAAGGCTGAACTTCAGTCCATCATGCAGCAAGATCCCTCCCCCCTTTCTTTTTATTACCCCCATCATCCTGCAGATAAGTGTTTCTGGCTCCTGGATTGTACACTCTACCCACTTGAGTTTGCAATAGGAAGCAATCATGTATTTTGTTGTTGTTGTTGTGTATCTTTACAAATACCTACAAGATGAGGTTTATGTGTCATTTCCTTTAATTGAGTCAACAGTTTATGAATCATTGCTTCCAGTAAACCTCCACTCAGGCTCGTTAATGAAAATAGTATGGCAAAGGAGTTTTGGTCACAGATACAGCAACTCCGAGCCCGTCTTACTGTTGTATGAGCTGCACAGTGACCTAGTGATGCTGCGTTGTGAGTCAGCATCTTCATTCAAGACACTATCTGTATATAAAATATACATACTGTATATAAACTGGGATGTAAGTTTATGTAAATTGTCAGTATTTTCTTTGCAAATAAAGCTTTTTCCTGATTTGACCTAGTTCAGTCCCGGCTGAAACATTTCTTTTTTCCTCTTTAGAACCTTCTGTCTGCTAGCAGTTTGTGTTGCCAGTTCTCACAATTTTATGATGAGTCTCCCCATAGCTGGTATTTTTCTTACAGCCCCAGCTACTGGGATGGAGATTGCATGAGAATCACAGCTTTTAGTTAAAAATGAAAGTTTCTGGTATTTATGGTTGCAGAGAAAATATTGAAAATGTGAACTGAGTGCACCCTAAGTGCTCAGAAGAGAAAAGAACCCCCAGATTTATATTTTTAAATCTCATGACTTTTAAGCAATCTTATCGTTTTGGGGGCCTGCCTTATGATTTTTGCATGCTAGGGCTCCCTTGTGCTGCATTGTTTTAATGGTATAAAACCCTGACCTCTTCAGCATTGTTCAGTAATGGCCAGGGGTCTCCTTTCTTGGATTCGTGTGGAGCCAGAAGACACTGTACTCAGGACGGATTCTAGGGTCAGGCGAGCAGGTGCTTTCTTCCAGGGCACAGTACTGCTATTCCACTTGGCTTTTTGTTTTCCTCAGCTCTGATTGGCTGGCCATTTTTGCTTGCTGATTGGCCACTCGGGGCAGGAGGGCACCAAAAATGTTTTCTGCCCTGGCTGCCAAAATGGCTAGGCCAGTCTTGACTGTAATCACCCCGTGGAGAGTGACTAGCAAGAAGGGAGCCAGCCTGAGAGAGAAGCAGAACTGGCCCATTACAGATGAACAGTAACTCCCTGATATATGGCCTGGGGAGCAGGATCTAGAGCAGTTCACAGCTCACACTCATGATCCATTCCCCAAGGTGCGTGCATGAGAGCTCCCTCTGCTCGAAGCCTGGACACCAGAGAGATCTCACAGTGACTGGGGAATGCCAGCCCTCCGAGACACGGGCCATCGAGCTGGGAATGGGCATTAAGTATGCAAAAGAAGGGAGTGAACTGTACCCCACTAGCCAAAGTCCCAGGGTAGAGGCATTACTGCAAAGCAGGAGCTTTATTTTCAGTCCAAAGTGAGATGGTTGTGTTGATGGGAGGTGCACACTCCATTCCCTTTCAGTCTACCTTACCTCCCAGCCCTGAAAAACTTCCACTAAGTGGGAAAGGGGGACTCGGTTTCCTTGGCCTCTCTACTGAGTCTGTCAACAAGGGGGCTAGTCAGGGCCAGATGTGATGGTGTGTGTTGTGATAGACACCTGCTCACTCTGAACCATGCTCGGACTCTCAAACTGGTGGGGGGGGAGATTCTCTTTGAAGTATCTGGGCTCTCTGCTTTGTGCCGTTTGTTTTGCAGGTGCTGTATTATACCATGAACCTGCCGACAGGTCACCTCATTCAGAGAAGGAAGGCTGTGGTGTGAGGCAAGGAGCCTAAAGTTACTAGCTTATTCCTGTGTGCAGAGCATGCTGGCCCATTACAGCACTAACGCCTGTTGCACTGCTGGTGCGTGGCCACTCTTCCCTTCTCCCCCTGGACGGGGCCGTGTTGCTGAAACCATTAGAACAGCCAGACCCAGGAGCTGGGGCCAAGCGGCATGTCTGGCCAGGTACTGCCCAGCCGGCCCCAGTCTAGCTCTGTCTGAGAAACACCCAGCAGCAGTGTCAAGTCACAAGAGCAGGTTCTCCTTGTATTCCCACTGATGAGACTCAGCGCCTCTGATGCTGAGCTGTGGAGCTGTACAGAAAAGCAGTTGCCCCTGGGGGGGGGGGGGCGGGGGACAGTCGCACGCTTGTATTCGGAACGACATCACTGGCTCCATCTGTATAAGGGAGTGCACCCCTCAGCTCCTTTGCCACTGCCACCAAGAACTCACAGCACGAGTCTTCTCTGGTCTATGAGCCCGTGCTCTGGATAGTCACTGCTAATTGTTGTTAGTTTTTGTTAGTGACCAGTTAGTTGGATGTTGGTCTTGGGTTATCTCCAGGACCATGTCGGATCTCAAATTCCATATGGGGCTCAAAAGATGAGCACCTTGCTCAGCCATCTTCCCCGAGACAGATGCATGTGACCCATGCCCCAGGCCTGGGACAATCACACAGTGTGCCCCAGTGCATGACTTGCCATGTTGTACTCCTCAGACAAGGAGGGACAGTTAGCTCAGGCTGCAAGCATTCGAGTAAACTGACTTGATACTCCTGCAGGAAGCTTGAGGTCTGCTTCTAAAGAGGCCATAGAGGCACCTCGCCACTCCTGCCTTGGCACTTCCCGCAATATCAGGCCCGAGGTCACCTTTCCGAAGCAAATGCTTGCAGAGGCCGAGCTTTCCATCTGGCACCATCCTTCACCACAAGCTCCATGTAGACAGTCCACACTGGCACACTGGTCTGTGACAGCACTGAAGACTTCTTTGGGCCTGTTAGAATAGATGCTGATAGATGCTGTAAGCAAAAGGCAGGCTTCCAGATCTCCATGTGACCCTCCCCCAGAGCAAAAGGAGAAGAGGTAGCATCCAACTTGCAGAGGGAGGCCAAGGAGAAGAAAAACAGGAGGCATCATTCTCCTCCAGCACCGACATGTTTCCTTTGGGGACTCCTTACCAGTGCTGCTGTCATCTTTGGCACATACTCCTCCTCAGTTTGGGCCTCCAATGCTGATACCATCACCACCATCCTCTTGTTGGACACCTCCCTCAAAGCTGTTGGCTACATTGCCACTGCTTGAATCCCTACAGCAGTATTTGCCTCCAACTTCCATCCAGAACATAATGGAGGAAGATGGGATCCCCTCTGAACCAGCTGTGTAAGTTCTTCTGGCCCCCTCCAGAGAGCCCAATGCAACTTGCCTTGTGAAAGATATTATGCAGGGCCATGTTCAATTACTCATGTGGCCCCATATTCAGGGGTCCAAGCAGGCTCTCTTTCATGCTGCCGAACTCACCAGGGCACTATCTTCAGCACAGGAACAAGATACCTCTTCTGGCACCAAGATATTTCCCAGGACGGCCGTTCTCTTTGAGAGTGTCTGTGTTCCAGACGGTGCAGATATGCCCATCACTATTGCCGCTGTCATTGGTGCCAGCATTGACACCTCTTCCTCTTCCAAAGGGCAGAATAGACATGGATAGGCACAGGGAATTCCCAGCCTTTGGATGGAAATGCTGGGGATTCTCCAAGGAGTACATGAGTGTGCCAGAGTCTGATCAGGGACTTTCAGTTAATTTCACCCTAAAGGCCAGAACCAGCTATTTAAAGTGCACAGAGGAGTTTGTTTGGGTTCCCCCATCTGACACTCTGGGGATGTGGAAAAAGGCTAGGGGATGCACAGAGCCTGGGTCTTGTGCTAGGGAGTTAGGTCACCCATACTAGGAGAGAGATTAACTTTGTTCCCTTCCCTGTACTCCCTTCCCGCTCCTCTGCTCCTTGCTAGGGGTGGTGAAGCTGGATGGAGGAGGTGAGCTAGAGAGCTGCAGGCCAGTGTCTCCCTAAATGGAGATTCCATGTTTTTTGGAGCTGTAAACATTTTGTGACATCTTTTGGTTGTCTCTAAAGAACAATAAAGGCTTGCTCTCTCTAAGGTCTGTGTTTGCCTTCATAGCCTGAAACCCAGGCCTTCAATAGAATCAATATGAACAAGCAAGGTTTAGAAGAGCTGTTGCCTTCAGGGGCCCTGCACCCGGTGAGGACTGACCAAGAAGATGGGTTTAAAGCATTGTACCTGGTTTTCCAGTCCAGAGACTAGAACTTCCACAGGATTCTCTACTCACCCCAAGAGCCCTGTTTATTCACTGAGGTGCATCTGACCCTCAGCACTGCATTTTGCTTGAGACCTGAACCATAAGAAACAGAGAGCTTTCCCACAATATAAAAGCTCTTGTGCAAACTGGATAGTGGCGGTGCAGCCTGCTGCAGGAAAGGAATGAAGAGTCAACAGCATTGAGCCAAACAAACAAAAAAAGTCCACTTAGCAAAATATCCCATGAACTGTCCCAGCAGCCAAACATTCTTGTTGTGACATGTATGGACCAACCAGTAGGTGGCAGAGTGGCCCTGGATATGTGACCACAGAAAAATTCTTTTTTGAGATATGCTGGTATTGGGGGAGCTAATATGAGTAGGGTGACCAGATAGCAACTGTGAAAAAACGGGATGGGGTGGGGGTAATAGATGCCTATATAAGAAAAAGTCCCAAAAAATGGGACTGTCTCTATAAAAACGAGACATCTGGTCACCCTAAATATGAGGCTGTCATGGGAAAATCCCCTCTCTCTCCCCTTTCTCCCCCAGTGCAGTGTAAATACCAGGCAATCATCTTCCAGCCATGCTTCACACCATTAGGGGCCCAGGAGGAAGGCATGGTGATAATGCAGTGGGCAGTGGCAGCACAAGTTCCCGTTCCCATCACCCACATATACCCCTGGCTCCTGCCCATGCCTGTTGCACCCTGTCCAGGGAAAGACAGGCGGTCATTTTCTGGGGCCCATTCAGTTCGGGGCTAACTGGGGGTGAGGGGATGTTGTGAACACCTATTCACAGAGCCCTGGACTGAGACTGCAGACTCATTGCTCACTCACCCCAGTGATGGCTTCTGTTCTCTGTGCACTGCGCCCTATGCTGGAGGTGAAAGGCTCTTGCTGGCTGCTGCTGCTCAGAGCTGTGTGGTTGGGTTGGGCATGTTCCCCTCTTGGTACATTTGTTACTGTCTGGGGGCGAGGGGAAGGTGGAATGCCAGGGGTTTAAACGGGTTACCTCTCTGAGCCCATCTCTTCTGCCCTCACCTCCCTTTTCCTGTAGCTCAGGGAGGCTCCATCTCCCATCCCTTTGGGAGGCTTCTCTGATCCTGGGAATAGAAGTAGCCCATGGGCTGTGGGAGACTGGGCACCCCCTAGCAGAAGCACCAGTGGAGCCCATGGGATACTCCAGGTGCAGGAAACCCCTCGTGAGGGTGTGAGCTGGAATTCACCTCAGGACTGTGCTGGGTGATTCATTCATGGGAGCTGGATGGTAAAACCCTTGGTGCATTCGCTCCCCAGCAAAGGGTCAGGTGTTGTTGTAAAATTTCCCTCTGCATGAGCTGCAGTAGCCCAGAGAGGGAGAAGGGAATTCCCTCTCCAGGCTCACTCCAGCCTCATCTCCCCCTCATCTCATGGAGGAAGGCATGGCCAGTAGTGCTGAACAATGACCCCAGTGCTGTTTATCACCACAGAAAGGGATTTGATTCCCCTCAAATGTCTAGCACCTCCCACCTGTGACTATTCCAGCTTGGGCAGCAAAGGGGGCCCTACTCTTCCAGTTTACATTTTGCCTGGTGGCACCATCTGGTCTTAGGTGCTAGCCTGAGCCCAGCATTTCCTACAGTGTCTAATTGCTCGCTTGGGATCCCCTATCCAAGCTAACCAGGCTTAGCTGTGAGTTCTGACCCAGAGCACAGCAGGAGGTGGCTGCAGATAAGACCCTAGGACAAACCCTTTGGACAACAGTGTGGTTTCCAAACTGGGGAATACCCACAAAAACTCCTCTCCTTCCCTGGGCCTTATCGGCTCCATTTTGCTGATATTTATTTCCTTTATAGTTTCAAATGATCACCTGGAAGTATGTGTAGTGGCATCTCCACCCCCTGTTCCCTAGTTTCTCTTTCCTTTGTGGCTTCATATACTGTTTTTCCCCGTCAGAGGCTTATATCTTTATTTTCCCACTACCGTAGCTGGGACTCCCACACACTATCTCCTTCCCCAAGCCCTCACTGGAGCCTATTTATATAGAAGTCTTTCTCTCCCTTAGCCCAGATGAGAGCACAGAAGCAGTGGGAAGGGGCTGCTTGCTCCTGGAGCCCATCATGTTTCTGTCAGAACACCGGCTGGCTGAAAGAGGATATTTGCTGCTCTGGCTGCTCCCATCTGTTCTCAAAGCCCAGCCTAGTGCGGAGGTGAGCCCAAACCCTCTGCCATGCCAGCAGGTAAGGCTAATTGCCCAGGATCCTTTGTGATTTAATAGCCAAACAATGCACCCGGTGGGTCTCAGACAGGAACTGCTGGTTGTGCTCATACCCTGCTGTGATACTAAAAGTTTAAAACCAGATTTTGAAAATCTTCCCCCAAAACTCTGACCACCTCAGCCTAGCAGCCACCTCCTCTTCAATAGCCTGTCTTTTTAATGTCCCCTCTCTTACACTTTCTTGTCTCTCTCTGCCTCAAGGACTTTCAGACCTTGTCTTCAAGCCTCTCTCCCCCCACCTCTGCCTTGTAATCTCCCCCCTTTCACCATTAGCCTTGTACCCAGGTGCTTTCATTTTGTCACCCTGAGATATCGTTACCCCTCATCTTCAGCAGTTTCTACCAGACAGACACTGTCTTGGGCAGCTTTTTGGATACCATGTGTCTGAGTGAGGCTTGACACAGCACTTGTATGTATGGGGCCAGGAAACGCTAAATACCCTGAACACATCTTGTCACCCTGTATTGTCTGTTCCTCCCCCACTTTTCTGTGACTGATCTCCGGGGTGGCTCCCCTTTGGGGACCAGTTGGTGAAACACCAGATCTCTAGAATTAGAATGTGGGGGACAGAGCAGAGAGAGGAGGAGACCGTCTGGGCCCCAGTAAGCAATGAGATCGATGGCTTTCTCCTCCCCTTATACCCACCCAGCTTCTACTCCCCGGCTGTCTTGGCCTGGAGAGCCAGGGAACATGGGCCTGAACTCAAACCCAGTCTCTCCAGTGACAGTGAGAGCACTAACCCCTAGACATCTTTTTTTCTTCATGGCCAGGCGCTAAAGCTGGAGCTCGCTCCCAGCCAGTCACTCAAGTGAATGACAAACTTCAGCTTGAAAACAAGGGACAGAGGTCATGGCACTGCCTCCTGGTTTGATCACACCCCCTGGCTGTGTCTTTTTCTGCTCGCGCTCGCTAAGTGATAGGCTGTGGTTAGAGGAGGTGGGATGGATCACTTGACACTTGAGGGAGGACTGTGGCTGCCAGAGGATTGAGGTTTCTCATTGTGGGATAAGAAATGACGAGGCAGTTCCCAATGGGAACTATTCTTCTCTCCCTGTCCCCTCCTTGGATATGTGCCTGACTGAGGGCTGTGCTTGGGGGAGAGGCACATGGCACAGAGGAGCCATCAGGACACGCACCCCACTGCAGCCTAGGCTCTGGGATGCAGCTGTCAGACTCCACACAGTCTCATACCCTTCTGCAGCCCAGTGAGTGTGACACAGACCCTTGCCGGTGAAGGGAAAAGGATGGTGATGATGGTACCTGAAATCAGCCAATGAACAGTGCTGACCTAGCAGTCAGGAGCTGTCTGCCTCCCTCTTGCCTTATTTTTGTTCAGGCGAGGGAGCAGAGGTGCTGTGTGGTTCCTTCGTTGACTCTAAGCTGTGATCTGCTGGCCAGCATAGGTGCATCTGTGTCACCCAGTCTGGAGGGTTTCAGCAGCGCAAACCAATAACCTGAGCTTCTTCAGGGGCTTCTCTGAAGGTAATAGTGTCAGCAGGGCCCTCCCTAGGGGGATGTGGGGCCCAGTGCGGAAGTGACAAATCTGTCACTTCTGGGACTGACCTCGCCACCCAATCGGTCCCGCCTGCAGGGGCCCCCAAAGCACGGGGCCTGGAACGGTCACCACGATTCGTCGTACCCAAGGGACGGCTCTGAGTTCCGGCCCCCACTGTACCTCAGAAAGCCAGGTCACAAAGAACCCCCTACAGCTCTGAAAGAGCTTCCCACCCACAAGGTCAGATTTGTGATTATGCTAGAAACTGTGTGTGAAGGTGCTTATGCCTTCATCTCAGCCCGCCACGTCGAAAGTACTTGCCTAAGGGGAGTGCGTGCTTGTGTCTGAGGATTTCTAGTAAAATTCCAAACAGCAGGAAGGTGTGTGTGTGTGTGTGATAGGAGAGGAGCCAGGTTTGAAATGAGGTGTGGGCTGAGCTCCTTCACTCTCATTGATGGCTTTCCTTGTTTCTCCATAGAGCTCAGTTCAGGTCTCATGCCAAGGTCTTGGCCTCCGCACATTTCCAGAGAAGCTTGGCCCTGGGGTTAAGCAGCTCGACCTCTCTGACAACTTCATCCAAAACCTGACGGAAAGCTGCACATCAAAGTTAGGGCAGCTAGAGCACCTCAACATGCATTTCAACCAGTTGGCAACTGTGTCAGAAATGGCCCTGACTCATCTAACTCATCTTCACTCTCTGCTCCTAGCTGCAAACCACCTTGATAGGAATTACTTCACCAATGGAAGAGCCTTCGGGTCACTGAGGAATCTAAAGGTCCTGGACCTTTCGGCAAATAATTTGGACAGTGATATGGCAGCCTGGTACTTCAGCAATCTCACCTCTTTAAAGAAACTGGATCTATCCTGGAACAAGATGACCAGGCTGCCAGGGAGCATCTTCCAGGGAACTCAACAGCTAAGAGAGATCAACCTTAACAACAACTACATCATGGAAATAGAGGAAGGCGCTTTTGAGGCTCTGGTAAGTCTAAAGGTGGTGAATTTAGCCATGAATTCGCTTCACTGTATCTCGGGCTTCAGCCTCACACAGCTGCAAGTTTTAAATCTCAGCTACAATGCTCTGGAGTTCTTTGTTACAGAGGAGAGAAAGGAGCAGTACCAGCTTCAGGTGCTAGATCTGAGTCATAACAAACTGATTTACTTTCCAGAGCTCCCCAAGGTGCATCGCCTCACACACTTAAACCTCTCTGATAATGCCATGGTCTCTTTGGCACCAAGTTCCACCAATACAGCAGAGTTCAGACTGTGGTATGATGAGATGGCAAGACCTAACATATCCTTGAATATTTACAATGCAGCAGCTGGACTGTCAAAGATAACTGACTTAGATCTCAGCAGTAACCTGTTGTATTTGTTCCCAGTTACTTTCCTTCACAATCTGAGCTCCCTCCAGAATCTCAATATGGCTAAGAACTGTCTCCATAATATCGCTGTGGAGTCACCTCCTGGTGATATGAAAAGCAAGGAGCCAGGCATGATGCATGACAATGCCTTTCTGTCAGTGCAATCATTGGATCTTCAAGGCAATTTCATTCATTCCTTGCCACAGTGGTTTTTTGGTATTCTGCCCAAACTGGAAACACTTGACCTTGGTTCTAACAGCCTCCAGCCTTGTGAGAGCCAGAATGCTAATAGAAGAGAGATACCAATAGGTCATAACTCAGCTCAAAGAGATAACTGTACATCCTTCTGTGACATACCTCAGCTGAAGTATCTGAGTTTACGTAGGAACAACATTGTGAGGCTATATCCTTTCATGTTCAACCAAACCTCTTTGGTCTCCCTGGATCTGTCTGAGAATGAAGACTTGTTCATGCCAAAAGGAGCTCTGGAGGGTCTGGAATTCTCCTTGCAGAAGCTCTCTCTGAGAGGAAACCAGATGGACAATAAAAAGACAGAGTTCCCTTGTCTGAAGATGCTGAAAAAGTTGGACATGTCAGACAACAAGTTGAGTCTTTTGCCCCCAGACCTGGTCTGCTCTCCACTGGAAAACCTGAACATTCGGAATAACAACCTCCAGGCCTTAGAGAAACCTGCCACCATGAGATGGTCCAGCAGCCTCAATCATCTGAACGTTGCTGGCAATCCCTTTAGCTGTTGTGCACTGAGCTGGCTGGAAATTCTACAAGCTGCCCGTGTGAGTGTGTTGGATCTGAATGAAACTCTGTGCTCTTATCAGGACAAGAACAGGAACTTCTCAGCTAAGATAGCCAACAAGCCCACGTGGCTTTGTCCTCATCAGATAGGAAATCACTACCTGATGGTATTGGTGGTGGTGATCACTCTTTGCTTTCTGTTTCTCAGCTGCGGGATGTTCTGTCATCTGAAAAAGAATCAGAAGCTGTCAAAGTATCTGAGCTTCACAAGCAACAGGGTGGACCCCATTCCTTATCATCCAAATAAGGAAAAGAGAACTGAAGAGATTGTAACAGACAGAGTTACAGAAGTATAGTACGGGGCAGGAGAGGGAGAATAATATTTATTGTATTTTAGGCACCTGCCCCTCACTATTAAAGGCTTCACAAACAAGACAATAAAACATTCAAAATCAAATCAATATTCTGTGCTCCCTCCTGATGCAAGCAGCTTAGACACATGCTGTAGCCTCCATGGACCATCTCTCCATACTGTTTTTTTGTGTGTGCAAGGGATAACTGCTCATTGTGGGAGCCGTGGAAATATTGTTGTATTTACAAAGAATTCCCTCATGGGTTTCCTGCCATTCAAAGAGCAGCAACCTTGTTTCAGGGATCTCCCCCTCCTGCTTCACAGCTGAACCTACCCTCTTCTGTTTGTGAGCAGATAGTTATCTCCACAGCAACAGAATTTTTATTCTACAGAACTGTTGTTCAGCATTCTCCAGGAGTTGTCACTTGGCTTTTCAATAGGCAAATTTAAATACTTCTTAGTGTCAACCTAGTAAACAAGAAGCCCCCCACCCCTTCTTTCCCCCCTGCAATATGAGGGCTGCAGAGTCATGTGAAACGCCCCTTGTAAGGAAGTTTTAGGCCTGGTCTACACCTAAAACAGGTCAACCTAGCTACAGTGCTCAGAGGTGTGAAAAGTTCACACCCTGGGAGATTTAGTTAAGCTGAGCTAAACCCTGATGTGGACACTGCTAGGTCCTCAGAAAAATTCATCTAGCAACCGCCTCTCAAAGGAGGGGATTTACCGCAGCAATAGAAAAAACCTGTCCATCACTGTAGTGAGTGTCTCCACTACAGCAGCTGTTTGGCTGTAGCACTTGATGTGTAAACAAATCTGTAGTGTATTCTCCTGTAAGGGCCCAAAACACAACAGCTTACAGTATCAAAAATGGCCTTGTGGGGAAGGGGGAGAGGGTGATTTCTGTAGAATCCCAGGATGTTGTTTAAAAACGTGACTCTCCCCTTTGTTGACACTCCTGTCCCTTGAACTTTCATCCAAACCTTTGTGCTGAGTTGATGCTTCTAAGTGGCTCTGAGCAGTGCAGAGTGTGCCTGAGGGTGGCTTGCCATGTTCTTGGCCATTGTGATAGGAATGATTCTACCTCAACAAAAAGAACCCGAGTTGAAAATTCTCTGCCTCTCTGTAGTCAAAACCCCTAAGCTTTTCAGGTCAGCGTGCAGGCAGAGCTTGAACTAGGACAGCCAAGCCACCATTTCTAAACTCGTCATAAGCCTGCAGTGGCTGTGACAGGCTGACATCTTCCACAATGACAGGAGAGCGCAATTGGGCTGTCTAGCTCCAGGGAAAGCTGCCCCCCTCCCCACCCATGGAAGTCATCAAGGCAAGAGCTCCCAGTCACTGTTCTAACCAGTAACGCTCTCACCTTTGGTGCTCACACTCCCCAGATAATCAGCAATCGATTTAAAAGATGCTGCAGGAGCAGAGTCCTGAAGCTGAGGTGCTGAGCAGGGCCTGGCGAGTAGGGGACTCTGCTCCTGTGGTACTGAGGTACTGTGGTACTACAGCTCTCTAACCGCCAGGTTACTCCTTCTGGGACTCAGGAAGCCAAAGAGAAACACTCATTAGCATCATGGGAGTTGTGCTTGAGCTCAGACACATTCATTCGCTGCCAGGCTTGCTGTGACAAAACCCATTGCTTTTCAGGGTTCCTCAGTTCTAGTCTCTGTCACCCCAGCCAGCCTGACACTGAGTGCGACACCCAGGAATGTTTACAAGTCGAGCTCTACACATGTCTGGGGCTGCAGAGTACCGCAGAGTGAGTGGGGTTTGGAAAAGGTTTAAATTATTCATGAATTGTCATTAAATGATTCATTGTAAAATAAAGGACACTTTGCTCTAAAGAAGGCGCTGCCCTCTACCTCCCACCCCCCCCGCCACCTGCGTTGTGTCTGTACGTCTGCGACTACTGCCTTACGTGCTGTGACAAACCGACTTTCCGAATGAATGGGATTCTATGCCTATCTCATTGGATGGAGCTGAGCCCATGTTTCCATGTTCAGTTCAGACTCTCTTTGATCCAGAAGGGTGCTGTGGCCAAGATAGGCCATGAGATTATGCTGGTCTCTATTCCACTGTGCTTCCCTCCCTTCCCACCAGGCTCTGTTGTTGTCTATGGATTTATCCTTCTCATGTACATTAGAAGCTCCTTAGGACAGGGATGTATTTTCTTATTTGTCTGGAGAGCACTGTGCACGCACCACTGGGGCTATATAAGCAATCTGGCTGCTCCCAAGAGCTGTGATTGTCATGCAAGAGAAGGTAAGGGAGAGAGGGATGGATGCCCTCTGCATATCCAGGGCATGGTTACTTCAGAGGGTGTTTCATGATAAACAAAGCCCCAGGTGCTGTTGTTTTATGACAGGTGTTTTTGAAGCTGTAAATGTGCATTTTGGGTGGCCTCTTGGTTAGTAATGTTCCTCATTTAAACCACATACGAGGCTGTACTTTCCATGCATTCCACAGTATGCTGACTTGACCTTCACAGGGTTTATTCATCATCACCTTCCCCTGCCCCCATGAAGAAGCCTTCAGTGTTGTACATTCCATGCACTCTAAACCAGGACAGCCCTGCTGTGCCCCACTGAGAGCTTTGTTAGGCCTTGGCTACATTTGCAAGTTAGAGCGCATTAAATCAGCCCCGGGCACCCTAACTCCTTGTTCACACTGGCAAGGCATGTAGAGCGCCTGGACTCCACGGCTGGAGCACCCCTGGTAATCTACTTCCACGAGAAGCATAAAGCTTGCTGCGCCCTGGCTGGAGCGCCGTGGGACCAGTATGGATGCCCTGGTCCATTAATGCGCTCTGATCGGCCTCCAGAAGTGTCCCACAATGCCTGTTCTAGCCACTCTGATCATCACTTTGAACTCAACTGTTCTGACCTCAGGTGACCAAATGTCAGACCTGCCCTTTAAATTCTCTGGGAATTTTGAAATTCCCCTTCCTGTTTGCTCAGCCAGGCGTGTGGTGCTCTCAGTGCATCTTTCCAGGTGACCATGCCTCCATGCGCCAGGCGATCCCCAGTATGGAGCAATGGAAAGGTGCTGAACCTCATCAGTGTTTGCGGGGAGGAAGCTGTCCAGTCCCAGCTGCGCTCCAGCAGTAGGAAATATGATACCTACAGGCAGATATCAAGGGCCATGATGGAAAGAGGCCATGACCGGGACACTCTGCAGTGCAGGAGCTGCAGAACGCCTACCGCAAAGCCCGAGAGGCAAATCGCCGCTCCAGTGCTGCCCCTGCGACTTGCCGTTTCTACAAAGAGCTGGACACAATACTTGGGGGCGACCCCACCTCCACTCCGAAGAGCACCAGAGGCCTTAGCAGCCCAGAGTTCAACAAGGCAGAAGGAGGAAAGCGGGAGCGAGGGTGCTGAGGAGGAGGGGGGCCCAGAGCCAGAGGACGGCCCGGCATCCCAATACGCATACAGCCAGGAGCTATTTTCAAGCCAGGAGGAAGGTAGCCAGTAGCAGCAGACAGTGTTTGAGGAAGAACAAATAGCAGAGGAGGTGCCTGGTAAGTGGCTTTTATTTTGGGAAGGAAGTTGTTCAGTGTGGGCTCTTGGGGTGAGGAGGGTTAGGGCTGCATGCATGTCTAGATGCGGAAAAGGACGTTGATGTGCTCTCTCACAATGCAGTAATTGACCTCAGTGATCTCATCAAAGGTCTCATGCAGAAGCTGGGCAATCCACTTGCACAGGTTCCTTGGCAAAGCTACTGTGTTCCTTGTCCTAGTAAGGCTAACATGTCTGCACCACTGTGCCGAAAAGGGTTGGAGGTACCATTTATCCACACAGGCAAGCAGCATTAGGGCCAGGGCAGAAGCCGCATTGTAGTAGAAGACCCTCCCTTGCTCCCCAGGTCACCCTCAACAGCGAGATATCTTCCAGGACGAATTCATCCTGTGGAAAATGTGGGGACAGTGTTCAGTATAGGGGCCCCCTGCAGCTGTTGGCTCTCCCCAAGGCACAGAACCCCAGAGGACAGTACGGCCGTGAAACAATCAGTCCTCCTTGCCCCTGTGTTTACTCACCATTTCGGGTCTCCTGTGGGTTATGTGCGCTCGCTTTGGGACTGGCACTTTCTGCTATTGTGTACACTATACTTGTCTTTAAGTTCAGCCGAATCATTGCTCTGTCTGGTGAGAACAATGCTGCCTCTGTTAAGTGTTGCATTTTGGCTTTACAGATGCAACCTTGAGATCCCAGCCGTCCTTGTTATCAACAGCCGAAAGGCTACAAAGAATCAGGAAGCGGCCGCGAAGAAGCCAGGAGGACCTTCTGCATGAAGTTATGCAGCAGTCCCTACTGATAATCCAAAAGTATAGGAGTGATGGGAGACTGAAAGGCGGCTCCACCAGCAGAATGCTGATCACCAGCACCAAAGCGTGGAGCAGCTGCTAAGCATTATGGAGCACCAACCAGACTCAATGCAGGCGCTCATAGCACTGCAGACGGAGCAGATCCGCGCCTGCCCCTGCCCCACAGCCCTTGTCCCAAAACTCTTTCCCTTGTGCCCCCATGTCACCGCCAACCCACTTCACCCAACATCCGGTTTCTTACCACCACCAGCTGCCTCCGACACCTGTAGCTTCACCCCCCGCCCAGCAAACTACAACCCTTACCCACTGCACTCAGCCCCCTTCACCATGCATTTTAGCCAGCCTGAAGTGCAGCACCCATTGCACCACACTCCAGACAGGAAGGCTGAATATGATAACAAGACATACGCAAATCTGTGCTTGTCCCATTCCCCACCCCGCCCCCTTCCCTCCTCCCACACAGCACAGATGTGTCATGCCTTTTCTGTTCCCCAGCAGTTGTGTTTCTTTTCAATAAATGAATTTTTTTGGCTTTGAAAACATTCTTTATTGCATTAGGTAAAAGATACCGTAGCCCAGGAAAGCAACAGGCACTGCAAGTCAGTGCATCATACGTAGCAAACACAGATGCCTACTAGCATTGGAGCCACTGCACTTCACTCCCGTGCAGGGCACCAAACGTTAGTGGTGGCTCTCAACATCGAATTGCTCCCTCAAGGCATCCCTAATCCTTACAGCCCCGCGCTGGGCCCCTCAAATAGCTCTGGTCTCTGGCTGTTCAAATTCAGCCTCCAGGTGTTGAACCTCCGTGGTCCATGCCTGAGTGAAGCTTTCACACTTCCCTTCACAAATGTTATGGAGGGTACAGAATGCAGCTATAACCATGAGGATGTTGTCATCAGCCAGGTCCAGCTTCCCAAACAGACAGCACCAGCAGCCCTTTAAATGGTCAAAAGCACACTCAACGGTCATTGTACCAACTCAGCCTGTTGTTGAACCACTCCTTGCTGCTGTCAAGGCTCCCTGTGTAGGGTTTCATGAGACATGATATTAAAGGGTAAGCCAGGTCTCCAAGGATCACAATAAGAATTTTGACTTCCGCTACGGTGATCTTCTGGTCTGGGAAGAAAGTCCCGGCTTGTAGCTTCCTGAACAGGCCTGTGTTCCAAAAGATGCGTGCATCATGCACCTTTCCGGATCAGCCTGCGTTAATGTCCATGAATCACACATGATGATCCACAAGTGCTTGGAGAACTATCGAGAAATACCCCTTCCGATTTATGTCCTTGGAGGCTAGGTGGTCTGGTGCCAGAATTGGAATATGCGTCCCATCTATTGCCCCTCCACAGTTAGGAAAACCCATTTGTGCAAAGCCAGCCACAATGTCACGCACATTGCCCAGAGTCACGGTTGTTCTGAGCAGGATGCAATTAATGGTCCTGCAAATTTGCATCAGCACAATTCCAGCAGTCAACTTTCCCACTCCAAACTGGTTAGCGACCAATCAGTAGCTGTCTGGATTTGCCAGCTTCCAGACTGCAATAGCCCCGCGCTTCTCCACCAGCAGGGCAGCTCTCAATCTCACGTCCTTGTGCCACAGGGTAGGGGTGAGCTCAGCACACACTCCCATGAAAGTGGCTTTCCTCATCCAAAAGTTCTGCAGCCACTGCTCGTCATCCCAGACTTGCATGATGATGTGATCCCACCACTCAGTGCTTGTTTCCCGAGCCCAAACGCGGCGTTCCACTGTGGTGAGCATGTCCGTGAATGCCACAAGCAATCTTGTGTCGTCATCATAGAATCATAGAATCTCAGGGTTGGAAGGGACCTCAGGAGGTCATCTAGTCCAACTCCCTGCTCAAAGCAGGACCAATCCCCAATTCGACATCATCCTCGGACTCTTCGCTGTCACTTTGTAGCGTAAGGAGTAACTTGATTGCAATCCGTGATGTGCTGGCGAGATCCATCAGCATATTCCTCAGCAGTTCGGAATCCATTCCCACAGACCGAAAGGGAAGACAGAGCACACAGTACAAAAACCATTGAAAGATGGTGCCAAATGTGGATGGAAGCACAGGGATGCAAAGTGATGCATCACGGGGCATTGGGACAGGACCCAGGATGCCCCATATTCCCCCACCCACTTCCCACAAGCCACAGCACCAGAATGGGAAGAGGTGTTCTGAGGGATAGCTGCCCATAATGCACCACTCCCAATGCCGCTGCAAGTGCCGCAAATGTGGCCACATCACTGCGTTTGCAGCTGACAGTGTGAACACACGGTAGCGCTTTCCCTGCTGCGGTCTCCAAGGCCTGGTTTAACTCCTGACGCTCTACTTCTGCAAGTGTAGCCATGCCCTTAGTAATTCACCTGGTACCCAAGAACTATGCGTGCTGGCAACGTAAAATGGAACCAGTTACAGGCACCTTCACCTTTAATATGAAAGGGCAGCCCAGGGAGTCTACAGACCCCAGTATGCCTTCCTTTCAATCTGAGTGGATGGTCACTTGAA